GTACCTCTGCACTTTACTTCCGCAGCTCCTCTGAGTCTCAGTGTGCTTTTCTCTTTCCTTCTAGTTGTAGAATTTCCACTCAGCCAGCCTTCCTGTAGTTCTGGATGATGTCCGTTTTGTCTTTTCGTTGTATTTTTGAAGTTGTTGTCGGAGGCAGCAATTTCCGGTGTTTACCTATGCCGCCATCTTGGTTTCTCCGAATAGAGTTTTTAATATAATAGTTTTTGTTAACTGGAGGAAGCAGTATTTTTTAAAAATGTGAGAAGTTTAAAATGTATTTTGTTGAGATATATAAGGAGACTTTGCATAATTGACAGTAAGGGCCAGGAAAAAACTCTTTGTATATTTATAAAGGGATATTTTTTGTATACTCCTTTTGCTGAAACAAACAAAAAAATTCCAATTAAATTTCCAATTTCCAAGGAGCAGGCCTTGATAATGAAATCTTTATTTTAAATTGTTTGGTAAATTGTGTCATTTTAGGTGGAGGAAGCTAAACAAGAGTTACAGGAAGTTGTGGAATTCTTGAAAAATCCACAAAAATTTACTGTGCTTGGAGGCAAACTTCCAAAAGGTAAGATATTTTCCCTTTACCAGATTTGCGATAAAAAAAATAGTGTAATATGTTACTAACTTAATTGTTATCAGATTTAACTGGTTAAAGTTTAGTTCTTAATTACTATTTCATAAATAACTGCTCATTCTGAACATACCTTTCTATAACCTTTTTTTGTGTAATTTTAAATTTTATCATATAAACTTTAAGTCAGTTTGCAAGAATCTGACAAAGAACTCTATTCAACCCATACACAACATTTTGGGTTACTTGCTCATTCACTTTCTTTACATACATGTATTTTTGGAACAGTTGAGAGGAAGTTCTAAATATTACATCATGTATGCTTCTTTATTCCTAAGTAGCTCATTATATATTTCTTAAGAATAAGGATATTTTCTTTTCATAACTCCAGTACAGTTATTAAAATCAGGAAACTTAACAATGATCTAAAATTTATCAAATTCAAATTTCAGTATTTGTTCCAATAATAACCTTTTTAGTTAAGTTCCCTCATTGCACTCCCAACCCAGGTTAAGGACCCAATTCATGTTCACATATAACATTTAGATTTTCTTTAATCTGAAAAAAATTCCTCAGCTTTTTTTTTTTTTTTAAACAGGGGTAGGGTGGATTTTCTTATGATCTTCAAAATTGTATAGAGTACACATAAATTTGTAGAATGACTCTCAGTTTGGTTTTGTCTGATGTTTTCTCACAGTTATTACTCAATATGATTTTTTATTTTTACTTAAAAAATATATTTAATTGATTTTTTAGAGAGAGAAGAAGGGGAACGGATAGATAGAAACATTGTTGAGAGAGAAACATCATTGATCGGCTGTCTCTTGCACGCCTCCCACTGGGGATCAAGCCCAAAACCTGGTCATGTGCCCTGACCAGGAATTGAGCCAGGGACCTCTTGGTTCATGGGTCGATGCTCAACCACTGAGCAATACCGGCCACGCTCAATATTAATTTTAAATACTGTGTGATATTGTGATTTACAATAAAAAACATATTTGGTCTTAGTCCCTGTTACTAATACAGAGCTCTTAAAACTTGGAATTTCATAGTGAAGAGAGCAATTAAAGGTATGTTTTCACCCTACCTGGTTTGGCTCAATGGATAGAGCATCGACCCTTGGACTGAAAGGACCCAGGTTCGATTTCAGTCAAGGGCACATGCCCAGGTTGCTCGATCACCAGTAGGGGGTGTGCAAGAGGCAGCCGATCGGTGATTCTCTCTCATCATTGATGTTTCTATCTCTCTTTCCTCTCCCTTCCTCTCTGAAATCAATAAATATATATTAAAATAAAGGTGTGTTTTGTTGTGTTAATGAGGTAGCTTTTAGAAAACACCTGAAGATGGGGGCAGGTTGCCAGGAGAACTTATTCTGTGCTTAGAAGGTTGGAACATTTAGTACAACCCCACCACCACCACCCATTTCCCCACCTCTAGGGAGTGAGAAGGGCTTGAGGTTGAATCACTGTTCAATGTCCAGTGATTTAATTAATCATGTCTATGTAATGAGGTCTCCATAGAAACCCAGAAGGATGGGGTTTGCTTGCCCCACCGTATAGTTGCTCCAACTATGCATGCTATAATAAACTAGTAATCTACTAAGTAAATGTTTCTCTGAGTTCTGTGAATTACTCTAGCAAATTAACAATACCCAAGGAGGAAGACATTAGAACCTTTGACCAGCTAAAAAGCATAGGAAATAACCTGGTCTTGCCTTTGGGAAAGCTCTCAAGAGGGAGGGGGGAACAGTGTTACGGTACTGAGTTCTTAACTTGTGGGAATCCAATGCTTTCTCCAGGTAGGTAGTATAATAATTGAATTGAATTGTAGGATAAACAGCTGATATCAAAATTGCTTGTTGATGTGAGGGAAAAGCCCAATATTGGACTTAGGTACAGAATTGTAATGACTTAAAAGTGTCCTTCTAGATACTTTAACCATTTATATTGAACTTTTAAATTATTTCTTATCTTTTACTGTTTAAACTAGCACTGTTGTGACTATCTTAATATATTAAGGCTTTGCCTACATGCTTAATTATTTCCTTAGAACAAATTCTAGATTTATTCATTTGGTATCTGTAAATTATTGTAGATTCCAGTGCTAGAAATGGAGTTAGTGAATTCAAGAGGCACTACTATCTATATAAGGCTTGTTTTTGTACTCTATAGTATCTCTACTGAAACTGTTCACTAGTATCTAAAAATATCTGCATGAATCTTTTTTCTCTCTTTTATGCATGAATCTTTCTTTTTAAAAAAAATACATTTTATTGACTTTTTACAGAGAGGAAGGGAGAGGGATAGAGAGTTAGAAACATCAATGAGAGAGAAACATCAATCAGCTGCCTCCTGCACACCTCCCACTGGGGATGCGCCCGCAACCAGGGCACACACCCCCAACCGGAACCGAACCTGGGACCCTTCACTCCACAGGCTGACGCTCTATCCACTAAGCCAAACCAGTTAGGGCGCATGAATCTTTCTTAATGTAGAGTTCACTTATTAAATCCGTACTGTAATGTCATAAGGAACATGTTTAAAACAAACAAAAATTATTTTTCTTTCTGATCAAAGTAATATTTTATAAATTTGTGGGTAAATTCTCAGGTACCAAGATATACTCTACAGAAATTGATATGAGGATGATTTAAACCATTTAGGAACAACAATAACATGAAAATACTAGTATAGGCTGCAGGATATTTTGGAGTTTTTCTTAAAGGGAATTTTTTAGCCCTCGCTGGTTTGGCTCAGTAGATAGAGCAAGGGCCTGTGGACTGAAGGGTCCCAGGTTCGAGTCCAGTTAAGGGCACATGCCTGGATTGTGGGCTCGATCTCCAGTAGGGGGCATGCTATGCATGCTATAATAAACTAGTAATCTACTAAGTAAATGTTTCTCTGAGTTCTGTGAATTACTCTAGCAAATTAACAATACCCAAGGAGGAAGACATTAGAACCTTTGACCAGCTAAAAAGCATAGGAAATAACCTGGTCTTGCCTTTGGGAAAGCTCTCAAGAGGGAGGGGGGAACAGTGTTACGGTACTGAGTTCTTAACTTGTGGGAATCCAATGCTTTCTCCAGGTAGGTAGTATAATAATTGAATTGAATTGTAGGATAAACAGCTGATATCAAAATTGCTTGTTGATGTGAGGGAAAAGCCCAATATTGGACTTAGGTACAGAATTGTAATGACTTAAAAGTGTCCTTCTAGATACTTTAACCATTTATATTGAACTTTTAAATTATTTCTTATCTTTTACTGTTTAAACTAGCACTGTTGTGACTATCTTAATATATTAAGGCTTTGCCTACATGCTTAATTATTTCCTTAGAACAAATTCTAGATTTATTCATTTGGTATCTGTAAATTATTGTAGATTCCAGTGCTAGAAATGGAGTTAGTGAATTCAAGAGGCACTACTATCTATATAAGGCTTGTTTTTGTACTCTATAGTATCTCTACTGAAACTGTTCACTAGTATCTAAAAATATCTGCATGAATCTTTTTTCTCTCTTTTATGCATGAATCTTTCTTTTTAAAAAAAATACATTTTATTGACTTTTTACAGAGAGGAAGGGAGAGGGATAGAGAGTTAGAAACATCAATGAGAGAGAAACATCAATCAGCTGCCTCCTGCACACCTCCCACTGGGGATGCGCCCGCAACCAGGGCACACACCCCCAACCGGAACCGAACCTGGGACCCTTCACTCCACAGGCTGACGCTCTATCCACTAAGCCAAACCAGTTAGGGCGCATGAATCTTTCTTAATGTAGAGTTCACTTATTAAATCCGTACTGTAATGTCATAAGGAACATGTTTAAAACAAACAAAAATTATTTTTCTTTCTGATCAAAGTAATATTTTATAAATTTGTGGGTAAATTCTCAGGTACCAAGATATACTCTACAGAAATTGATATGAGGATGATTTAAACCATTTAGGAACAACAATAACATGAAAATACTAGTATAGGCTGCAGGATATTTTGGAGTTTTTCTTAAAGGGAATTTTTTAGCCCTCGCTGGTTTGGCTCAGTAGATAGAGCAAGGGCCTGTGGACTGAAGGGTCCCAGGTTCGAGTCCAGTTAAGGGCACATGCCTGGATTGTGGGCTCGATCTCCAGTAGGGGGCATGCAGGAGGCAGCTGATCAATGATTCCCTCTCATCACTGATGTTTCTATTTCTCTCTCTCTTTCCCTTTCTCTCTGAAATCAATAGAAAAATATCAGTATATTTTTTAAAAGTATTTTTAATATTAATATATAGCATTAATACAATTTTGTTGCTTTTTGAAATGTCTGAAAAATGAAAAAGTTATGTAAACCAGGGAATTCTATTATCCTAACATGAAAAACTTGTTATGAAAATTTTCAAACATACAGAAAAATTAGAAAGAAAGCTGTAGACATTACCTACTTTGTTTACATCTAAATATTTTGTTATGCATCACATAAGAATAAGGACATTGTCCTAAATAAAAATAATATTTATTCTACCAAATAAAACTAAACACTATTTTCTTAATATCATGAACTCACCAGTATTTTTCAAATTTTCAACAGATGCCCCTAGAATTTTTAAAAATACACACATTTTTATTGATTTCAGAGAGAAAGGGAGAGAGAGAGAGAGATAAACATCAATGATGAGAGAGGATCGTTGATCGGCTGCCTCCTACATGCCCCACATGGGGATTGAGCCCACAACCTGGGCATGTGCTCTGACCAGGAATTGAGCCATGACCTTCTGATTCATAGGTCAATGCTCAACCACTGAACCATGCCGGCCGGGCCTAAATTATGTGCTTTTTTATGGAGGTGCATCAGTTCAAGGTTCATGCATTACATTTGTTGTTTAGTCTCTTAAACTGTTTTATGTGAATCTTATTTACTTAGTCATAAGTTTATATTCCTTTCCCCCAATATTTTGTCCCTTCTATGGCTGATATGTAAACAGTATTTAGATGATACAAGATAATGAGTTATGGAGAAGATCCTGAAGTGAATTATTAGTATAGAGAAATATATTTTGCTATGTTTCAAAATATTAGTCATTGATGTGCTTGTAACCTCAACATTATAAATTAATTATTCATTTTTAAGATTTATATCAGAATTTGTTTTTGTTTTTAATTTCAATTATTCTTGTATACTTTTTTTTAATAGGAATTCTTTTAGTTGGACCACCAGGAACAGGAAAAACCCTTCTTGCCCGGGCTGTAGCTGGAGAAGCTGATGTTCCTTTTTATTATGCTTCTGGATCAGAATTTGATGAGATGTTTGTGGGTGTGGGAGCCAGCCGCATAAGAAATCTTTTTAGTATGTTTAAATGTATCTTTTATACAATACTAATTTTTTTTTTTTTAATTTCAGGGGAAGAGGTTTTTTTTACCCTTTCTTTCTACTTAAGATTGTTATTCAGCTGAACAAAGCTATTTGGGGTTCTGGTTTCAGAGAATTAAAAAAAAAAATTTTTTTTTTTTTATTGATTTCAGAGAGCAAGGGAGGAGAGAGAGAGATGATGTGAGAGAATTGATCGGCTGCCTTCTGCACACCCCCTACTGGAGATTGAGCCTGCAACCTGGGCATGTGCCCTGACCAGGAATTGAACCGTGACCTCCCAGTACATTGGTTGATACTCAACTTCTGAGCCATGCTGGCCTGGCTGGTTTCAGGGCATCTCATATGTGAGCTAAAACAGAACTGTATTTTTTTCCCCACATACAGTCAGAGTAGCTAATGGAAGTGTTAGATGTAGTTGGGCGCTGCAGAAAAGCTGGGTCTTTTTGTTTTGTTTTTTATTTAGTTCATCATTTCTATAGTATGTAATTAAACTCAAACCTGATTGTATATAGTTGAAACAAGTAGGAAGAATGAGTGAATACACAGTTGTTTCTATTTACTTGTTTGTTGGTTGATCATCACTGGAGGATATTCTTTCCATCGATTTTTATTTTTATTTACTATTATTATTTTTTAATCCTCACTCCAGGAAATTTTTCCATTGATTTTTAGAGAGAGTGGAAGACAGAGAGAAATATTGATGTGAGAGAAACACATTGATTGGTTGCCTCCTGCATGTGCCCCGACCAGGGCCTGGGCCAGGGAGGAGCCTGCAACCGAGGTACATGCCCTTGACCGGAATTGAACCCAGAACCCCTTGGTCCACAGGCCGACGCTCTAGTCACTGAGCCAAACTGGCTAGGGCTTTCCATCAATTTTTAGAGAGGGTGAAAGGGAGTGTTAGGGGGAGAGAGAAGAGAGAAACAAACATCTATGTGTGGTTGCCTCCCACACATACCCTGACTGGGGCTGGGGATCGAACCTGCAACCCAGGTACATGCTCTTGACTGGGAATCGAACCCTTGATCCTCTGGTACATAGGCCAATGCTCTAACCACTTAGCCATGTGGGCTACGGCTGTTTTTAATATATATCATTCTTTATGGTGTAATTATTTTTTTCCTTCTGTGGTTATTGTTCTTTTTTTTTTTTTTTTTAGCCACGTGGGGAAGGGGAAAGAATCTCACCGTACAGATTCCCACATGGGGAGGGGAAAAGAGTCCCCTGAGGCTATTGTTCTTCATCAGTGGAAAAAAAAAGAGAACACAACGAAATCTGTTTTGGTGTATTTTCTCCCTAATACTTTTTTTGGCTTTTGACAATTTTGCAGGTTTTTGATATTTATATGATTTTTCATTAAAATTTGAATCTTTTCTGTTTTCCTAGGGGAAGCAAAAGCGAATGCTCCTTGTGTTATATTCATCGATGAATTAGATTCTGTTGGTGGGAAGCGAATTGAATCTCCAATGCATCCATATTCAAGGCAGACTATAAATCAACTTCTTGCTGAAATGGATGGGTAATTGAATCTTCTGTCTTTGGAATATATTTGGTAACATTCTAGAGAAAGGAAAAATCTTACATTTGTAGGCAACAGTAGTCCTTCATGCAGAAGGTCAAGACAAGCTATTTTCAGGATTGTATTGTTTCGAATTCAATAGCGTAGTTAATTTATCAACTCGTTTAGGTTGGTGATAGTTGCACCTTTTTTATTTATTATGACAGGGAAGCAGTGATTCCTGCTGACACTATTTGGAGATATAAAGGGAGAGTATGCTGGTCCCTACACAATTTGTGACCAGATTTTAGTGTTGCGACAGATGAAAAGCTTGCATCAGTTTTCATAATATAAAAAGCAAGAGGTGGGGTTGCTTGGAAAGAAGCAAAAATATTTCTTATAACACATTCTGGAACCAAATAGGAAGTTTAGGAGCACATAATTTGAATTGGTAAACTTGAAAATAATTTTTCAAAAATTTAGTCAGGTGCCCAAGCTTCTTGTGTCAGGTCATCTCTTCCTAAGTAAAACAAATACTGTGCAGGTATATAATCACAGATGATTTGGTGATTATATATTAGCAGTTGTAGTGAAGTACACTGTGCTAATATTTGTTTCTTTTAAAAAATAGAGATATCATTTGGGGCATAAAAATACCAATCCTTTTTCTTTGCTGTTATTAAGATTAATGATAAACAGTTTTATGTAGAGCATTTATACATGTGTGCTGTTTTAATTTTTAATGAAAAAGTACTTTTTTTTAAAAATAGTTTTAAACCCAATGAAGGAGTTATCATCATTGGAGCCACAAACTTCCCAGAGGCATTAGATAAGTAAGTATTAAAAGAAAATTTTTGTGAAGTACTGATATATGTTTAAACATGAATGAACTTTAAAAATATGATGCTAAGGGGAGGAAGCCCATCACAAAACATCATATATTATGTGGTTCCCTTTAGATGAAATGTCCAATATAAGTAAATCCAGGGCAACAAAAAGTAGGTAGATTAATGGTTGCCAGAGGCTGGGGAGAATGAGGAGTGACTACCAGTGGATATGGTTTTTTTGTGTTTTATTTTTGAGGGGTGGTGAAAACATTCTAAAATTAGATTGTGGTGATGGTTACAGAATTCTGAATATATTAAAGAGCTTTGAATTATCCACTTTTTTTTAAATTGTAAGAGAGTTTATTAGAAAGTCACAGAGATAGAAAAGGTAAGCCAGCTGGGCTGTGTGGGCACAGGAAAGGAGTCACAGAGGCAAAAGAAGGGCACTTGGAGTTTAGGAAAAAGAAATGCTGAGAGAAGGAGCCCGGATGAAGGGAAATTGCTCAAGAGAGAGGAAGAGCATGCTGGATTTATCTACTTTAAATTTGGTAATATGTAAATTATCTCAATAAAGCTGTTAAAAGGCCTTCTGACAACTTATATATCACAAAAACATTTTTGGGTGGAGAGCACTTTTATTTTTTAAAAATATATTTTATTGATTTTTTACAGAAAGGAAGGGAGAGGGATAGAGAGCTAGAAACATCGATGAGAGGGAAACATCGACCAGCTGCCTCCTGCACACTCCCCCCTGGGGATGTGCCCGCAACCAAGGTACATGCCCTTGACTGGAATCGAACCTGGGACCTTTCAGTCCGCAAGCCGATGCTCTATCCACTGAGCCAAACCGGTTAGGGCTGGAGAGCACTTTTAAAATAAAATTTAGTATAATTTTAAATTTTTATTGATGTTATTATAAAAGTTATTCATATTTTTGTTTCATCTAATAGTTTGTCTTTGCCTGAGACTCTAATAGACTGGTATAGAATTATCTGTTCCCTGGCTGATTCTGAGGGGTGTCTGCTATCTGTAGGTACACATTTATCAATGTATACCTTTACTCTGTCTTCTAGTTATTATTTGAGCCATGTTTTATAAGGAACTATCTGAATACTTACCTTCAGAACTCCATCTAACCTCTGGTTGCATTGTCTTTCCAACCTCTCCTTAGTGTGGTGGTCCTATTTAACTTGACCTTCAGCATAGTTAGCTTACTAATTTTCATTTTCTTTTTGTATTCTCTCTTTAGTGCCTTAATTCGTCCTGGTCGTTTTGACATGCAGGTTACAGTTCCAAGGCCAGATGTAAGAGGTCGAACAGAAATTTTGAAATGGTATCTCAATAAAATAAAGTTTGATCAGTGTAAGTCTTATTCCATGATACAAACATTGTTATCTCCATAAAATGGTAATATGTCAATCCATCCTGTTTGTGGTTCTTACTTGAGCAATGTCTTAAAAGACCAGTTCCTTTATACATCATTTTTTCTTCCATTTATATGTCCTTTTTAAAAAAAAAGTCCATTTCATAACTTACTGCATATCCAGTAGATTTTATCATTTTGAATTCTGATTCGAATGAAAGTTTTCTTTTGAGTATTCAGATAGATAATACTTAAAGATGAATGTATGTATGTTTTTAAAGATAAATGTAAAATATGAAACAATAGAAAAAACACCTGCATATTATGAGCACAATATCTCATGATATAGTCCCTTTGGTGTCAAAGTTGGGGAAACTCACCTGTGAAACAAAACACACGGAAAGGAAATATGGACCAACCTGAGTAATAAAAGCACCCATTAAAGCTGCAGTATTTTCAAGATAGCTGAATCAAGAAAAAAAAGAAAGAAAAAAAACCAACAAAAACCCAAATAAGTTTTCCATAATAAAGGGAGCTTTTATGTCCAAAATATTTCAAAATGAAATTTTAGGGGGAAAAAAATGTCTATGAGTATGCTTTTTCGATTTGTCATTAGGCCACTAATGATGTAGGTCATAACTGAAGGTTTTTAAATGATCAGATAACTCTACATTTCTTTGTTTTTTCACAAAGTTATTTAAATTTAAGAGCTTTTGTTATTTGTCCCAATGGCAGTTTTAATGTCATATTTATAACAATTTAGACTTTTTTCCCTTAGAAGTTAGTAAAATAAATTTTTTAGTTTAATTAAGATAAATATTTTAAATTATAGTTCATGATGGCTGTTTTGTTTTTTTCTTTCGGAATTTGGGTTCTTTTTGGCAAACTTTCTTTTGGCTGTTTTGGAACTTTAATATATTGTGTTATATCTACACAGCTGTTGATCCAGAAATCATAGCTCGAGGTACTGTTGGCTTCTCTGGAGCAGAGTTGGAGAATCTTGTGAACCAAGCTGCTTTAAAGGCAGCTGTTGATGGAAAAGAAATGGTTACCATGAAAGAACTTGAGTTTTCCAAAGATAAAATTTTAATGGGTAGGTTTTCTTTATTTTCCTGTCTTATACTATTCAGTATGTTAGAGAATAAATTCTTCATTTTGAGAGGTTATTAAAAAAACAAAGGTAGCCCTGCCAGTGTTTTTCTGTGGTTAGAATCTTGGCTTGAGTATTGAAGGGCTGAGGGTTTGATTACTAGTCAAGGGCATGCACTTGGGTTGCAGGTTAGATCACAGGCCCCAATCGGGGCAGGTGTAGGAGGCAACCAATCGATGTGCCTCTCTGACATCAATGTTTTTCTCTCTTTTTCTTCTTCCTCCCTCCTTCCTTTCCTCCTTCCCTCTTTCCCTCTCTCCCTTTCCCCACCTTGCTCCTTTATACACTTTCTAAAAATCAATGGAAAAAATATCCTCAGGTGAGGATTAACAACAACAAATAATAATAAAAACAAATGTATAGGGACATGAAAATATATATTTGAATGTAGAAAAACAATTTGGCCTCTCACAGACAAATGTAGATCATGGGTGCCTGTGTTTTTACTCTTGTCTAATATTGCTGATGAAAGGATAGTTAATTTTACTCTTCTTAGTATTTTTTACTATAACTCATGAATTGGCTTCAAAACAGGTTAGATAAGACATTCCTTTTAAATTGAAAGTTTAATTTCTAGAAATATAATTAAGCTTTCCCTTTGGCTATGAGAGTAAGATGATAGTTCTAACAATTTTGGTTTTCAGTTGACATTGTTGTAGTTAATATGTACTTATTTTTAAGCTTTTACTTTGTTTAAAATATTTCTTAATGAAATTAAATCATGTTACTCTGAGAACAACTTTGAAGCAGATGGGTTTCATTCCTTTAAATATATCTCTCTAATGGAGCATTTAACCTGATTAATTTTTTGCTTTTAGGGCCTGAACGTAGAAGTGTGGAAATCGATAACAAAAACAAAACCATCACTGCATATCATGAATCTGGCCATGCTATTATTGCATATTACACTAAAGATGCAATGCCTATCAACAAAGCTACAATCATGCCTCGAGGGCCAACACTTGGACATGTAAGTATCTTGCAGTTTTTCTTTGCTTTTAGATAGCACTTTCCAGAAGGATATGCATGAAATTGCTGATAAAATCCCTTTAAGACAACATTCAGCTACTTGCTAAATTTGTTGATATTTTCTCATATGTTTTTACTATATATTTTTATTGATTTCAGAGAGGAAGGAAGAGGGATAGAGAGATAGAAACATCAATGATGAGAGAGAATCATTGATCGGCTGCCTCCTGCACGCCTCCCACTGGGGATTGAGTCCGCAACCTGGCATGTGCCCTTGACTGAAGTCGAATCCGGGACCCTTCTATCCACTGAGCCAAATCAGCTAGGGCTGTTGATATTTTCTTTTCTTTTCTTTTTTTCTTAAGTATTTTTATTGATTTCAGAGAGGAAGGGAGAGGGAGATAGAAACATCAATGATGACAGAGAATCATTGATTGGTTTTCTATGGCACATCCCCTACTGGGGATTGAGCCCACAATCCAGGAATGTGCCCTTGACCAGAATCGAACTTGGGACTCTTCGGTCCACAGGCTGATGCTCTATCCACTGAGCCAAACCAGCTAGGGCTGTTGATATTTTCTTTAACTTCCTGAACCATCTTGAAATTAGAGATTCTTGTGAAATTTATCTTTTAATAAAGAATATCCTTAATATTCTAGATATTATATATTATAATATAAAATTTAATTCTGGAATAGCAGCAAATTATAATTCTTAGCTATGTAATTGCATTTTCCCCCCCACTAAAGAAATGTACTGGCTCAGTAGTTTTTTTAAGATTTTTCTTATTGAGTACAAATTTTGTTCTCATATCTTTCTAATTGTAGAGATTTTAAGCATTTTTGTGCAACAGAGGATAAAAGAGTCTTATATCAGCATTATCTACCTGTTACTTATAAAATAATTTTCCTTATTTTATAAATTGCTGGTTTTGTCATCAGTCACCTGATGGTCATCTCTACTAAATGTCTTTGGGCTTTCAGCATCATGGTATTAAGTAAGGTGAGAGGGCCAGATGATAATTCTGGTTATTGTAGGTGTTCCAAAACTCTCTGAATTTTTTTCTGTTTTTCAATTGTCTAGGTTTCCCTGTTGCCTGAGAATGACAGGTGGAATGAAACCAGAGCTCAGCTGCTTGCACAAATGGATGTTAGTATGGGAGGAAGAGTGGCAGAGGAGCTTATATTTGGAACTGACCATATAACAACAGGTTGACTGTAAAGAATGGCATTAGTTCAAATTGTGTTCGTTGGTTTAAAGATATTTTTTTAAAATGAGTTCTATATTTATTTTAAAATTTTAGGTGCTTCCAGTGATTTCGATAATGCAACTAAAATAGCAAAGTGGATGGTTACCAAATTTGGAATGAGTGAAAAGGTATTGGCTAATTTTATTATTCCTCATGTCTCCAATGATATGTGCCAAGTGTCTCTTGAGAGAGGGTTTTCATTTTAAATTGATAACATTTACTTTCCTCTGTCTCATTCCAAATGGAGTTGTCTTTACTTATTCTAAACTAAACCTTATTTTCTGAGTAATTTAGTATTCTGTTTCCATTCTAGCTACTTGAACACTAATAATTATTCGTTCATGAGTTAACAAAATGATAAGACAAATTCTTTAGCCGTTTCTATTCATATGACATAAAAAATCTACTTGCTGAGCCTGCCATACTTTACCCTTTTCCCTTTCTTGCATTATCGCTGTGGTTCCATGAAGAAATTCTAATACTCTGAATTGTGGATTTCTGGACTTGGAATAGCTGCCAAGGTTTTCTAAGAAGGCACTCACTAGCATACTTATGATTTTAAATTTTCTGTCTTGCTCACACTTCAGTTTTAGTGTTATACTTTCAGAAAAATGATAAAATTTCGTTGCCCTTAAGGCCATTTTATATTGAATTTCTTTTTTTTTAATTTTTTCTTTAATTATTGATTTTTTACAGAGAGGAATGGAGAGGGATAGAGAGTTGAGAGAAACATCGATCAGCTGCCTCCTGCACACTCCCTACTGAGTATGTGCCCGCAATCAAGGTACATGCCCTTGACCGGAATCGAACCTGGGACCCTTGAGTCCACAGGCCGATGCTCTATCCACTGAGCCAAACCAGTTAGGGCTATATTGAATTTCTTAATTTCCCTCCATGAAATTGGTTTCTTATGTATAGGATGGTACTTCCTCTGTTATGTTTTATTTGTGGAGTTTTTTGTTTTGTTTTGTTTTCTATTCAATTTCTTCCCATTTGTTTTAGCTTGGAGTTATGACCTACAGTGATACGGGGAAACTAAGTCCAGAAACGCAATCAGCTATTGAACAAGAAATCAGAATCCTTCTGAAGGTAATGATCGTGTTTTTCTACATTTATTTATTTAGTCATAATGTGCCTAAATAGTTGGGTTAAACCCTTTTGTTCTTTAGAAATAAAGATAATAAAGATAATAGGTGCACTGTTTCAACCATGATTTATTTATTTATTTGTTAATCCTCACCTGAGGATATTTTTTTTATTGATTTTTAGAAAGAGTGGAAGGGATGGGGCTGGGGTGGAGGGGTGAAGGTGTGTGTATGTGAGAGAAAGAGAGAGAGAGAGAGAGGGAGAGAGAGACATTGATTAATTGCCTCCCACACAGGCCCCTACCAGGGCTGGGAATCAAACCTGGAACCCAGGAATGTACCTTTGATGAGCCTTGACTGGGAATTGAATCCACACTCCTTTGGTGCACAGACCGATGCTCTAATCATTGAGCCACACCGGCCAGGGGGCAACCTTGATTTAAATATGTTGTTAGAGAACTGTGGTCATAGACTGGATCTTTATTTTATTCTGACTGTAGACTAAGAACAGTTTATATCAGTGATTATAAATATTTAATTTTATTTTATTTATAAAACCATAAGAGTTATTAGAATGAACTATATTGATTATTGATTCTTTATTGTTTTCCCATTCTGACATATATTCAGCATGTGTTGTTATTTGCTTGTGCCTAGTAGTGTGCATATGCTCAGAATACTGAATAAGCAAAACAAAGGTCATTTTGACTGCAGGGTTCAATACAGATTAGGATAAAAGAATGTGTAAGAGTAAATTCAGTGAGATCCGTTGGTAGGTACTGTGGTCATCTAATCACGGTATAATGGATGCTCGAGTTAGGGTGGTGAAATGTAGAAATTGAGAAACTTGTGGGTTCAAGAGATACTGATGTAGTGGAATCAAATGCCTTTGTGATATTTTGGTTGAGAGAGCAGCTATGAATCTAAAAACAATATTTTAGATTTCTGCCCCATACAACTCAGTTGTATCATTTACTGAGTAAACACTGGTGATGGCCTAAGGCTGGCAAGGATGTAGGTCATAAGGTCAGTTTCATACTTGTTGAATTGGAGGTAGTGTAGTGAAGATTAAAAGTTGGGAAAGATTCATGGGTGTGGAGCTAATTCAGAGGTTGGATATGGTTCTATTTGGGTTTGCATGAAGGTAAGTCTTGGAATGGAGAAGAAGACTGAGCCAAGAGCCAGAAGTCTTTAGTGAATGTGGACTTAGGTAGCACAGTGAAGGCTGTTGGGTAAGGCTGTAGTCAAATAGCATGAACTTGAAAGGAGTAGAGCTTGATAGAAGAGGGAGTACATTCATCATTGCACAAACATTGATACAAAAATATCACGGTTCAGAGTGTTTACCTCATCTGTGTTGGTAAGGATCAGCCCAGAAATCCTCTTCTGCTACTTGTGATGGTGGCGTGGGTCCCCAAAGACTGGGACCAGCCAGAATCAATGGATGTGCAAAGGTCCTGGCTTTTTGGCTTGAGAGGGATCCTCAGATCAACCCCAGGATCTCAGGCAGAGCAGCAGGTGGGGCTCACCTCTATCCCTGGGCCCAATCCCAGGCATGGTCTTGTGGTCAGAGCTGATAGCCACCCCTGCTGTGCCAGCTGGCTAGGATGGCCAGGAAGCCTGGGGGCCAGTCAACACTGGCCCAAGTTCTTTTCCACCCATTTTTATAAGGGCAAAAATATGACTAAATATAAAAATATTTGGAAAAACATTGTACAGACAAATGTGACACTGCCGCAAATGAATTGTTAGTAGTGTCGTTATCTTATGACCTAATAAACTCAACCCAAACTCACTTTTGGAAAGACAATTGAAGGACTTAAGTGACAAATTCAAGGTGGGCTTGCAAAGAAAAATGTATGAAAATCAGGGATCAGCTGTAATTATACTGTTAATAGTTGTCACAAATTAACAAGTAAGTATATTATACAAGTGAAAAACGGAAATAGTAGGTCTTTTCTCCTGTTAAATAAATCAGTGAAATCAAGAGGCAAAAGGAGCAAATTTCCTTCTTTTTAAACATACATACTGAATAGATTTCTATGTTCAGAGGCCTTATTTAAAAAGCAGATAAGTACAAAGTATACTTTAATTTTTTAAAGTACCTTTTGATCTAGGTAATCATTTTTCTATGTGATAGATTTTGAGGTAAAAAATAAAACATTTGGAAAGTACAAAAGTATTATCTTTGGGAACCAAGCTTTTATATGTTTTTATTTGCCTTGGCTGGGTAGCTTAGTTGCGTTGTCCAGATAAGTTGAGTTTATGGATTTGATCCCTGGACAGGGCATGTATGAGAGTCAGCCAATGGCCAGGCTGGAGTGGCTCCATGGTTGAGCATGGTCCTGTGCACCAAAGGTTGCTGGTTCAATTCTTGGTCGTGGCACATAAGGAGGGCCACCAATTGATGTTTCTCTCACACATCCATGATTCTCTCTTTCTCTCTTCCTCTCTCTATGCTTGTCCTCTGGTGAGGATTAAATAAGAAAAAAAGAATCAACCAATGAATAAATACATCAATAAGTGGAACAACAAATTGATGTTTCTCTCCTCTCTAAAATCAATAAAAAAATTTTTTTATCTTTATAAATAGAAATAAATTGATTTCACATTTTTAGGGTACATAGGTTTTTTCTTTTCTCATTTATGGTTTTTGCTTCTCCTAAATTTTTTTTGCCTCTTATAGATCTGCTTTTCTATTTTAGGACTCATATGAACGAGCAAAACATATCTTGAAGACTCATGCAAAAGAGCATAAGAATCTAGCAGAAGCTTTATTGACCTATGAGACTTTGGATGCCAAAGAGATTCAAATTGTTCTTGAGGGGAAGAAATTGGAATTGAGGTGATCTCTCTTGAAGTGGGTCCGTTGCTGGTTTTATTGCAAGAATATAAGTAGCATTGCAATACTCTCCTTTTGCAACACTTCTCTCCCATTTTTGACCTGGTATCACTCAAGTGTGTGAAACACTTTATCAACCTTTTGTCACATTTATCTACTTTTGGTTATTCTCATGATGACACCTATTGCAAATTAGCAATCCAAAACAACTATGTTAAAGAAAATAAAGAACTATCAGTATTGAAACAGCTTGTTTGAGAAATGCCCATCAGTTATTAAGTTGCACATAAATAATGATTTTATGCTGGGTTACTCTACTAGATGTGAATAAAATTGTGCCTTGAGCTCCTTGGAAGTCTTTTTACTTAGAAAAAATGAAATTGTTGAAGAATTGTCCTCATTTCTAGGTAGTACCATTGATCTTTGATAAAGAAATGATGCTGTTTGGCTGCTGGTACACCATATTTCTACATACATCTGTGGAAACTTCATTAAGATACACTTAATTATGCTCCAGATTGTCCACATATAAAATTGTGTTTTAAAAAAAATCTTAAAAATAGTGAATTGTAAGTGTAAAGGTACAATCAGAATTAAGTGATTATAAACTTTTAAAAATGTACCATGCATTTTTGTGGTTTTTTTTTTTTAACATTATCATGGTCACTAATGAAATTCATTTCAGGACTGCAGTCTTTTGTTAAATAAAAAAATGACACTTCCAATTTTGAATAAGTATATAATGATGCTTGATATTGAAAGTAAAATTAGATCAAAAGCTCAGTCCCCTTCAAAATGAACTTTTGAATTACACTGTATCAGAAATGGAAAATTGTGTTTGTTTTTCATCCAGATTTTGTGAATATGAACATGCTGTTACAGGATTTACAAATTTATTTAACTCAATAGAAAAATTAGAGTATATTTTATTGCTTTTTATATTTAACCAAATTATATTCTTGAAGTGATTTTATTAAAATTACCTGTAGTTTTCTAATAACTTTTAAGCTGTATATGGTCTTCATTGAGGATGTTGATTGCAGGAACTTGCCACATGATATTTGTGCCCCTTTTAAAAATAATTTTAAATTTGATGTAATTTCAAACTTACAGAAATGTTAACAGAATAATAGAAGTAACTTCCATTTACTCTTGACAGAGATTCATTAGTTGTGTTCATTTGCCTAATTTTCTATTGCCGCCTCCCTTTTGCTCTTCCCTTCCACCCTCTCCCTCTTTGTGTGTGTATATGTATATGTGTGTACATGTCTTTGTGTGATTTGTGTTTCATTTCTCCTGGTAGACTTCTAGGATTAAAGTTGATGAGTCATGTGGTAACTTTTATGAACCTGAGGAATTGTTTCCAAAATAACTATACAACAATATTATATTCTAACCACCAGTGTTTGAGGGTTCCAGTGTCTCCACATCTTGTACAGTACTTCTTATAGTCTTCTTCTTCTTCTTTTTTTAAAAATTTGAATGTATTGGGGTGATATCGGTCAGTAAAATTATGTAGGTTTCTGGTATACAGTTCTACAGTACATTATCATCTGTATATTGCACTGTTTGTCTTATTCATTTTAAGAAATCACGTATTGTGACTGCAAATCCTTTATCAGCTGGATCTTGCTTTTTTAAAATCCAGTCTGGCAATCTCTTCTGTTATTTCAGTTGGGTATGGTTCATTCATGTTTAATACTGATATAGTTGTTTATAATATCTGCTGTATCACTTTTTGTTTTCTGTTTTTCTCATAGCTAAAGAGGTCCCCTATGTTCCTCTTTTATTTAAGTTACATTTTAGTGGTTGCTCTAGGGATGATAATACACATCAACTTATCATAGTATACTTCAAAATAATACAAATTTAATTCTGGTAACATGGATTAACTATATTTTAGCATTTTCTTCTCTTTGTGCTATTATTGTCATTTGTAATATCTTTATATATTACAACTCTACAATACTATACTGCTATCTTATATTTTCAGTCTTTGTTGGGAATATCTTTTGTTTGCCTTTTTTAAAGAATAGTTTTGCTGGGTATAGCATAATACATGGACTGACCTTTTTTTTCCTTTTTAAAGATTTTCTTTTTAAAAAATATATGTTTTATTGATTTCAGAGAGGGAGAGCGAGAGAAACATCAATGATGAGAGAGAATCATTGATTGGCTGCCTCCTGCATGCCATCTACTGGAAATCAAGCCAGCAACCCTGGCATGCGCCCTGAGAATTGAACTGTGACCTCCTGGTTCATAGGTCGACGCTCAACCAATGAGCCATACTGGACTGGCAGTTTTGTTTTGTTTTTTTTAAATAATTTTGAATATGTTACCCCAGAGACACTTCCATTATTTTTGAGAGAAATTAGCTATTAATCAAAATTTTGGTCTCCTTTGGTGATAGGTTGTTTATCTCTTATTTTTAAGAAGTTTTTCTCAGCCTTGACTTTTAATAGGTGGACTGTGATATGTACATTATGTTTTTCATCAAACTTGAGTTTGTTTTTTTAATCTTCATCTGAGGATATGTTTATTGATTTTAGAGAGAGAAACACCATTGTGAGCGAGAACCATTGATGTGTTGCCTCCATACACACCCTGACCAGGAATCAGAACCACAACTTAGGTATGTGCCCTTACAGGAATTGAACCCACAGTGTTTTGGGTATGGGATAATGTTCCAACCAACTGAGCCACCTGGCCACGGCAAATTTGAGAATTTTTTTGACAATTATTTTTTCAAATATACTTATCTGTCCTTTATTGTCTCTCTTCTGGGATTGTTCTTGCAAATGTGTTGAAACACTTGATATTGATCTGGTCTCTCAGGCTTTGTTACTTTTCTTCATTGTTTTCTCTCTTCAGATTAAATAATTTCTTTTGATTCTTCAGGGTCAATGAATTCTTTCTTCTACCATGTCAAATCAATGAGTTTCAGATCATTGTATTCTTCATCTCCAAATTCTATTTGGCCTTTCATATACTCTCTATCTTAATAGAGATTCTCCATGCATTGCATCATTTTTATCATAGTTTTCATTAATTCTTTAAATATGACTTGCACTAGTTCTTTGAACATGTTCACAACAGATGCTTTTAAGTCTATGATAAATTTAACATCTCGAGGAGATAGTTTCTATTTCTCCTTAGTAAGGGTCACATTTTCTTATTTCTTTGTTTTCTAATTTTTTTATTTTATTTTTTTTTGCTTTCTAATCTTACTGAATTTCAGCTGGTGTTGCAATATGGAGTCGATTTTCTTTATAGAGGGTTGTCCTTGTTTTGTTTAATAAGTTGCCTCCAGCAAATTTGTGAAGTTTGTCCCTGCTGGAGTGTGTAGCCATTCATGTCTGTTCATTTATAAAATGTTTAAATCTTGCTTCCTAAGGTTTGTTGCTATGTTTTCATTGCATAGCATTTAGCCAAAGATTAGACCGAGGTTCTCTTCACGTCCCATCAGTCAGGACTCCCACCTGCTGATGGATCTGTGTGTTGGCTCACAGGACATTCAATGTTCAGGTCATTTTCAAGTCTGCCCTGGTTTTGCACATCCCAGAGAACAAATGAATCGGTTGTAGAAAAGTGTTCCACATGTTTCTTGGTTACTCTTAGAGGGAAAACACATTAATGACAGCCTTTGAACTGGAATTGGAAAACGTTTGCTAAGGGATTTGGTAAAGCATCCATCTCTCAGTCATTTTTCATCACAAAACAAATACTAGTGTACACATTATGAATTCCATTAGCATAACTTAAATGAGTGTGCAGGAAAGCAGAACCAGGGCATTATTTGAGTCTTAGATAGGCATGAGGATTCCAAGCAATACCTTTCTACAGGGCATCTGCTCTGGGTCCAAAATTAGTTCCACAAAAATCTGGGAATGGGAAATTTTAAATTCCAATTGCTCGTTTGACCGAGAAAACACAAACTCAGAGTTGGCCTAACGTTTACTCTATCTCTGGTCCATAGAGAAACTCTAGGGTCCACTGACCTGGAGTCCTGGTGACTGGTTCCTGCCTCTCTGCAGCCGGGTCATGTCTTTGATCCTCAATGCAGGCTGAATCAGGACTGTCAAAGCCTTCTCGTCACCTGTCACTACAGAGAGCCTCTCCTGTAAATCTGAGGAGCAAATAAGGTACAATAGGTCATTTTCTAATTGGGCTGCTGAAGGAGGCAAATGCTTGGTCATCATAGTTTAAACCACTCCCACACCCAAAAACCAGTTGGTCTAGCTAAGCGGAGTCGTCCTGAGAATTTTGTTGTTGATTTGGTTAATTCTTTTACCAATGAAGGCACTCGTCCCTCAGCAGGGACCCCTTCACCAGCAGCAATTTTTGCGGAAGGTCCAGGCACTCAGCTTCTGAGTTTCCATTTCCAAGCAATTTTGCGAACTATTGAACCAAAGAACAAAATGGCAATAAATGGCCTCAGAAGAATAACTCCCTAAATTAAAATCTATGTGTTTGTCTTGCTGTAAGATGTGTTTACCAAACTTTCACATTTTCCTGGTGCGTTTTATGCAATGTTGGTTTCTGTTACTCTTCATTTTGGCTAGCTCCTGAAATCATTAGCAAATGTAGTAGGAATGTGGTGAGCTGGGTTTGCATTAGCTGTTGCTGTGGGCCTGCTCCTGCTCCTGTGCGTTTCACCCACCGTAGCAGGTGCAGTCCTATTGGAGTTGTTGGATCAAGAACTACACTAAAAGGAGTCTCTGTTGGCGCTCGCATGTTTATACCAGTTACTGTGGAATATGGAGTCAACCTATTTTACCTTCCTAAGACATGGTATAAAGATGGAAAGACAGAAGTTGCTGGTAGAGAAAGAAGGAAGCAAGGGGAAATGAGTATTTAGACTTTAAGTTTGTAAATCGCAAAGAATATGGAACATGTATGGAGCACAAGAGGCTTCATAATGGTGAAGATGATAAGCTCAGTAAGTGAATTACTGAAAAATTTGGCTAATGGGATTTGAGGAAAAAATAGGTATTTTATGTCATTTTAAAAAACAATTATCTTACCCTTCAATAAAAAAAAACCCTCTTGCTTGCATTTTACTTTGTTTTTTCATCTGCATCAAAAAATTCCTTTCTGGTGAAATCTTTACCATCCAGTTTGCCTTCCCTGTGAACCTGCCATAAACTGTTAACTCCTTCACCAGTTACAAAAGTACAGCTTGAAAACTTCAGTCTGATTGTCAACTGTACAGATATTAATATAATAATCACTTATAATGGAAAAATATTCCATCACAATAAAAAATGAAAAATCCAAATATGTCTAAAGTGGGCAGGATTCACATAGGGAAAAAAACTACCACATCACTACGCTAAAAGTGTCAACAACAAAAACAAACCAAAAATCCAAAAATGAAAGTATCACCCTGCCTGGGAGCTCAGTTGGTTAGAGCAGTGGTTGGCAAACTGCGGCTCGCGAGCCACATGTGGCTCTTTGGCCCCTTGAGCGTGGCTCTTCCACAAAATACCGACTTCTGCGCATGGGCCACGAAGTTTCAATCGCGCTGTACGTGTATGCCCGCACGTGGTATTTTGTGGAAGAACCACACTCAAGGGGCCAAAGAGCCGCATGTGGCTCGCCAGCTGCAGTTTGCCAACCACT